GAGCTTGTAGTGAGCCGAGATTGCGCCACTGCACTCCAGCCTGGGCGACAGAGCGAGCCTCCGTCTCAAAAAAAAACCAAATACTTTTTTTTGTAGAAAGAGTCTCCATATATTGCCCAGGCTGGTCTTGAGCTCCTGAGCTCAAGCGATCCTCCCACCTTGGCCTCCCAACCTCCCACCTTGGCGTCTCAGAGTGCTGGGATTACTGGCATGAGCCACTGTACCCCACCCACATTCCTTTAATTCCAATTAAATCTCTAGCCTTGAGAATTCCAAGACCTAGGTAGCTTTCACACTTCCACTCACCAGCTGCCCTGCCAATCCACAGCCCTCCCTCTCCTAGGATGGGTAACCTTTTCTCCTTTCTCTTCCCAGCTCTGGGGTGTCACCAAGCAAGGCTACCGCTGTCGGGGTGAGTGGGGTGTCAGCGAGTGGGGGGGAAGCCTTGGCCCACAGGCTGGAAGAATGGACACAGATCGGACCCCTGGCCATTAACTGCTGCCTTCCCCCAGAGTGTGGGCTGTGTTGCCACAGACACTGCAGAGACCAAGTGAAGGTGGAATGTAAGAAGAGGCCGGGGGGCAAGGGCGATGCAGGGCCCCCCGGAGCTCCTGTTCCATGCACACCAGCTCCCCATGCCAGCTGTGGTAAGACCTAGAGCACAGCGGTGCTGGGAAGGGGCTTGGGGGAAGGGGGTTGAGTCCAAGGTCACGAGGCCCTTCCCATCAGACCCACATCCCTTCCATCCACCCACAAACAGGCTCCGAGGAAAATCTCTCCTACACGCTATCCCTGGAACCTGAGACTGGGTGCCAGCTTCGCCATGCCTGGACCCAGACTGAATCCCCACACCCTTCCTGGGAAACAGATACGGTGAGGAGAAACCACCCCTACCCCCAAGTGGATACAGGGAACACAGGCCATTGGCCTGGGGGAGACTGGACAGATTTGGAGACCCATAGGAAAGTAAAAATATGCAGAAGTCCTTGACTGCTGGGGTGGGAGGGTATGGATGCTGGTGACTTTTTT